TAAGTGGTACACATGCTTATAAAAATGATCAAAAGTTCGAATATACACTATCATATTTTAAATTTTGTTTATCTATATTCATTTCAACCCGCGGACAGCGCGGGTATTATCCTAGTAATATTGAATAACAGTAATATTTAATAGAATTGGAAAATCATTAAATTGAATAACATTAGAATTTAAAAGAATTGCTAAAATGTTTTATGGAATAACACTAAAATTTAAAAGAAACTTAAAATTCATTCCAATTTAATTAAATTCCTTCATCGATAACCAGCCCCTTACTCTGTTTTTATCATATAAACTACGGTAGGCTATCTTTAAGATTAAGAGTTAATTTTCGATATGTATCATATCTTTTCTTCAATCTGTGGGTAATTTAGTGGCGAGTTTGAAACTAACAAAAGAAACAGAGTCAAAATTCGATAGAGAAATGAATGTGTTGAGATTTCCTTTACCGTAATGGAAAAAAATTTGACTTGAAGTTTTCCTTTTCCCAATTCCTAGCTCAACTCGGATGCTCGTGTGTCTATATTTAGTTATGAAGAAGAAGCCTCCATCGTCTCTCTTGATCAGTTATCGTATGTTGAAAAGACATCGCTTGGCTGTGGAATTGCTACCACACGATGTTGTAATGCTTATCCTCGAGAGACTTCCTGTGAAGCCTCTGCTGAGATTTTAAGTGTGTATCCAAGATTCCCTACCTCAAACACCATGGTTTGCCATGGTAGTTGTGACGGTCTTGTATGCCTCTTCTGTATCCACAGACCGAGTATCCTGGTCAATCCCGCCACTTGATGGCATCAAAGTTTTCCTCTCTCTAATGTTCAACAGCTCCTCTCGGGCATGGATTATAACGGGATCGGTCATAAGATGGGACTTGGCAAAGACAAGATCAGGGGCACATACAAGCCGATATGGTTATGTAATTCATCTGAATTTGGCCTAGACAACGCTACTACGTGTGAAGTTTTCGATTTTAGCACCAATGCTTGGAGGTACGTTCTCCCTGCTTCTCCTTGTCGGATTCTTGATGAGCAGAAGCCTGTGTATTTAGATGGGTCACTTTATGGGTTAACCGAGGGCGAAGAAACCAAGGTGTTATCTTTCGATCTTCACACCGAAACTTGATCAAGTCATCTGTAAAGCACCCTTTCCCCATGCACCTGGCCCTAACTATGTCAATGTGATCATGTGCATCCTCGACAACCGCTTGTGCGTGTCCCAGAAAGACTTTCCCACCCAAACCCAAGTGATATGGTCCTTCNACTCTTCANGGACGTGGAAGAAAATGTGTTTGATAGATCTCACCAAAACCTTTCGTGTATTTGAGGACCGTCCTTTTGCACCATCACCAATACCATTACCAATAGCGATTATCGAGAAGAATAAATTACTGCTTGGTCTTGATACCTATCAACCACTGGTGATACATGATCTTCATACCAAATCTTATGATTTAGTCTTACAACCGATGACCCGTGGATATCCAGTTTGGTTATTTCCAAAGTTTATTCTCTACTTCATCAAATTAATTTGTCTCTTCTTACCCTTGTTGTAATTTAACATTTTCTAGCATTTTAATTTAACCTAACCATGGTTTTTCTTTGGTATCTTCTTGTATTGCAATGTTTCTCGTTCCTTTTATATGTGAATTGGTTTGAGAGGTTCAACGCATAAATCTTTGTCCCCTGCTCCAAATGGTCTTAACTGATGAAAAGGTAAACGTTTGATTAGTGTGGACCTTTTTGGTAGATGAGCAGGGTACACATATTTGGCAAGACCATCTGGTTCAAATCATTGGGTACAAAAGGGTAAATACGTTTGATTAGTGTAGATGTTTGTAGGAAAACCAATAGCACCGACCCAATATTTTTCCATATTCTTCTGTTCTTAANGATTTTTCAGGCGATTTTGCTTGAATGTACAAGCATCATCGTATACCGTACAGAGAACCAAAGATGCCAGAGTGAGACTGAGCAGGGATTATTGGTATTAGTATCATGATGAGTTAAGATTAGAAAAATGTTTTTGAGGTAGGAAGATAACATCAGTTTATGGTAAACTCCTAAAAATCCGTTTTCCTGTTATTGCAGCTGAAAAACCAGCACCCAGTAGCAGGTTAGCCTAAGGGGTTTCAGAACATATGGAATAAGTACAGAGTTGTGTCTGTACGACTGACTTCTTGGCCATTCGAAATGAGACAAACCTATATTCTCAGTTCAAGTGTGATTCTCTCAAGATCGGAATGGTAGTAGTTTCACACTATATGTCACGTTTTTCTCCCTTTTTCTTCATGGGATCTATGAANTTCTTGGATAATTCTGATTTCTCCCCAATAGTTATTTTTACTGAATCAACNATTCGCTATATCATCCATCATAAGATCCAAGATCTCATGCTCTGCTTTCAGACATTTCTTTGTCATTTGTCATTAAAACACGCACAAGGAACCGATATCAAATTGGTTTAATTCAACAGATTCCTAATGAACAACAATAAAAAAAAGGAGTAATAAAACTAACTTGCCATCCACTCAACCTAACTTGTAAGTCAAGGAACCGAGATCAAATTGGGAGTGTAAACACAGTGAGAACACTCGACAATACCAGAATCTATTTGAATCTTCTTGCACAGATCTTCCCTCACAATATAGATGCAAGCCACTCTAGTTTCATCGTCGGCACAACACATGAATATGGTCTTGTCAGAGATGTAGTAACTAATGCGAAAATACTTACCAGATAGCTTTGGCAAGTTAGTTGTTGATAAATTCATCAAGTTTATCCGCACCACGTACTCTCCATCATCTCCATTGTTACTACTAATCCTCTCCTTGGTTACCCAAATCCCAATCTTCATTGTCACATAGCATTGCTTTAACAATGAAAACCGATCTCTCTTATAAACCGCGAGCATAATTTCATCAGAAATATGGTTCTTGTGACATGGAAGAAGACAAAAAGGTTTGAAGATCTCTGTCGAGAAATCAAAGCTTTAGATGATGTAGTCTTTACGAGTCGAGCCAATACGAGTAACCCAATAGAGATTTCCATTCAAGGACACATTTTTTTGTGTAGTTGTGTCATGATATACGAACCAATAATCGTCAAGTGTATCAATAAACTTCAACGCATGAGACACCCACTCGTAGATGGCAAGTCTGAAGTATCTTATACCTTTATACCTAAAGTAGCCCAAGATCTTGTAAATCTTACTACTATCGTATCCTAAGCCGAAAACAACGAACTCTTTAGCATCGTACTTGCACCTTTTGACCTGTCTCAACCACGGATTCCAGAGAGATGTCTCGCTAGACTCAAACCCATACTTACAATACAAGAGCTCATCACAACTACTGAGTCTAATGTTCTTTGTGTACTTGAGATCATCTCCGTAAGGAATTGGTAGCTCACGCAACTCTATGGTTGGATCGATGCTATTGGGATCGATGATTTCTATCGAATAAACTTTGGATTGGGTAATGAACATGAATTGGGGACGAAAGCGAGACATGTGGTTTTTGAGGAAACTCTTGTCGTTGAAAACAGTGTTCCATTGTTTACTTATGGTTCGGAATCGAACAAGAGAATGAGGTGGAAGACGAGAGAGTATCTCTTCCTCCAACTCCCAAGGAAGCTGCAAAGCCATTAGGTTATTTGAGTTTCCACTTTAAAAGTTTGGATTAATGATTTTTTTTTTTGTGTAGGGAAAATATCTACTGCCAGCAAAATCTTTGAGTTTCGATTGCCATGAAATTGATCATTATCTTTACTAAAGGAGACTTATTTTTCTCTCTTTCTCAAAAAAAAAAATTTAATTTTTCTTCTTACTATTTAATAACTGCTAAACGTAGTTTTGGTAACCAATTTTTATAATCTTGTAACCATAAATTATAATCAAATTTTTGTTGAAAAAAATAGTTTTTTTGGTTATTCGTATATTGAAATAGAAATTGTCAAATCTTGGAATTTCATATATACATATGGCCATAATTTATGAGACACTAGATCAATAAATAAATCGCATTGTGTCACATGTTGGTGGTTTAATGGTAACATAAGGGGCTTGGTTCCCTTCTATATCGGGTTCAAACCAACTTTCAAAATCGCCTCTAAATTTGATCATGTGTTAACGTGTTTTATGAATTCAATTATTCTATATATGAGACGTGATGTAGTTTCATCTATACAAACATCCTAATTTCTTTTTTTTATTTTTGGTCAACTACAAACATCCTAATACAATGCTTATAGTTAACCATTCAAACAAGATCAAATTTTATTATAAGTTTAAAACCACAAAAGCTTTTTTGAAATTGAGGGAGAAATGGAAAGGAGAGGAAGAATTGGAAATTTAAAATGTCAAAAGAAGTTACAAAGCAAAGCATAATTTTTATAGTAAAAAAAATAAATTACGTCTTTGTGATGAAAAGTGGAACGAAAAGTGGAGGAGAGACTTGAAAAAGGAGACCAACATAGAAATCGAGGAGACTCTAGTCACGGTATGAATAATTCATTCTTTATACTGAAAGAAAAGCAACAAAAAAAGAGGACGATGATATTTTTAGTTATTTTTTACATGAGTGTTTACATGAGTATTTTTGATAGAAACAACTTTTAAAAGTTTGCAAAAGGCAGCCCATCACGTAGCAGATGAGTGTTGTAAATTATTTATCTACTCTCACTTTACATTATAATAGTTTGACCAAAAAAAAAAAACATTATAATAGTTTTTCTTTTTATTTTCAATTCTCACAATCAATAAATTAAAAATTAACATTATGTATACGTGATCATAAAAATTTGTAAGCAACTTAATATTTTAAATAGCTGAACTTTTTTGAATCTTCTTGAATTCTATTTAAGGGGAACGATAAAAAAAAATTACTCATCAACTAACTAATATATAAAAAGGAAATTGGCAAAAATAACACAAAAAATTATATTCTAAAAACTAACCAAAACTCTCACATCTAATAGTCATGATTTTGCCACATATCCCATTTTTGCTTATTTTTTAATTTTTTTTTTAGTTACACCAAAATGACTCTATATACATTCCGTATAAGTTTCAAAAAAAAAAAAACATATACACGCATGTATTCTTCTAGGAGAGAATGGCCATTTTAAATATGAACTCTACAGATTGAGCCAATTTAATTACAAACTTGCTAATGATCCATATAAATTACGAACTTTAAGTCAATTGAGCCATTTGAGTTATGAATTTAGTCAACATTATTAACCGTTTAAGAGACGTTAATNTCCGTTGANTGACTAAACNCCACCGTTTTAGAAACAGATTAACAAGAACAAAAATCCCCAAATCGTGACCAAATCCCTAGTTTCTCATCTTCGATATCAC